CTCTCTCTCTCTCTCTCTCTCTCGCACACACACACACACACAACGCGCGCGCGCGCATGCACGCACGCACACATGTATACATACAGCAGAGTTTAGAGTCATTAAATACCATGGAAGTATTGAATCATAGAATCCTTATCATTATCTCAGCGTAATTTTAAATTAACCAATCTAATTTTAAATTAACAGATTCTATTAAAATTGAAAAAAATTATATACCTTAAAAAAGGAGATTAAATGCAATGTGAGAATTATTGAGAAATTATACTATTGAATAGTGTATATAAAATACTATCAAACATCATAAATGAACGCATGAAACCATATGTAGAACAGATAGTTGGCGCACAGTGAGCGAAACATAGAATTCCCAGACATAATCCAAAAAAAAATTTTTTATTTTGTACATTTTATCATTAAAAATATTTACTCTACATGAACAGAAATCAACAATAGATCAGATCTTTTCTAAGGCAAATCCTAGAAAAAACAAAAACTTTACATGCTTTAGTACGCGAATATCACAACATCACGGAATTTGATTTCCATGTATTTCTTGACAGATTCTTTCCGTCTCCGCAGTTTACCATACTGACTCCTGTGAAAGATTGGAGGTAAGTTGCCAACTGGCTAAGTTTATCTCGTCAACGAGGCTACAAAAGAAGAAGATTCTCGATGGATACAAGAGCATCCTGAGTATCACTCTGTACCGGAAAATTATCAAGATCCGCGTGTAAGTGTTCTTTCACGGGTTATAAGAATTGAGGCCTTGCATTATAATAAACCCGCATTATGATAAACAAGAAATTAATAACAATAATGAAGGAATAATTATTTCTGTTGAAGAGAATTAAATAGTTACAAGTCAACAAATCATGACTATAAAAATTGATGAAGAGCGATGATAGGTTTTTACATGCAAGTTGATATATCTACAGGATTTGGAAAATAACTTTAACGAATTTAATAATAATTGTTCATTGTATAGTTGTACAATTAATAAAAAAAATATTTGTTTCATCTGCAAGATACTGATGATGACCTGATAGAGGTCGAAACATCTATAGATGAGTTATAAGAATTTTATATATAAAGCCGGTTCTACATTAGTTGCAAGCTGATCACAAGTTTGTTGCGACAGTCAATTTGAAGCTTGCATTTTGAAATCAATGCTTTATATTAGTTGTCGCAATAAACTTGCGATTAGCTTGCAACTAATGTAGAACCGGCTTAACAAGATTAATAAATTTACTACACATAGATCTTGCGTAATTTTAAATGCTCCTTACTTATTAAGATTATTTTAAATCATGATTAAGACTGGATCCTTGTTTTCAAAACATGCAAAATAATCATTGGTTTAATAAAGATGGGGAGATGAAAAATCCACAAATAGAATTGAAGAAATGAAGAATGACCTATTGAAAGTAAGGATATACCCCCTATCTAACTTCTGCGACAGAAAAACCGAAGAGAATGAAAAAAAAAACAGATTCTATATGCAGAAGACAGGTAACATTAATACACTCTTTCATGTTTTATATTATGATCATTATATTATTTAATCATCTGATAAAAAAACCATTGATAAAATATAAATTGTAATTCGAATTATTCACATTGTAAAATATAATTTTTTGATTGATTACACATTGATTTGATTGATTAGACATTGATAAAATATAAATGTAATTCGAATTATTCTATTTAGCAACAACATTACTTTAACAGATTGTCCGTTATAACAGGCAATCTAATTTATGGTTTACCTAAGTAAACCATAAAAATCCTAATGCGCAATTGCCGATGCCAGTTGATACTGTCAAAATAAAAGGAAGCTCTCCTAAAAAACAGTCTCTATGACAATTAACAAACTGATTAAGCTTCAGCAAAACATGCGCAATTGTCAATGATGCAGGGGAAAAATGTTAAAGAATCTTTTTTTTTTTTTTTGGCAAGTTCTCCTGCACTCATAGAAGTGGATCTAAACACAAGTTTCACGCCAAGCACATCTATGACGATTGAAATTGTTCCGGAATCATTGTTAATTTCAATGTATTCTCGGGGATGGGCAAGTAAACGGTCAGATAATATAAAGATATAGATATATAACGGTTAGATAATATATAGATATATAAAGATAGATAATATAAAGGCTATCTTTGTTCAAACATGCCTGCGACATTTCATTCAAAACATGCATATATCTCGCTCCTGTTCTAATCACGCTGTCTATCTCAAATAGCACGACCCCCCTTGCGCGAAAAGTGATCGCGCTGACGATCGCGCACACGCGAGAGTTCAGTTCACTTCCCGATCCCGATCAATACGGATCATCTATCGATATACTCACGCTTAACGGATCTTATCCCGAATAGTCAGAGCGAACCATACCGAAGTGTCATTGCATATCAACGCTGTGTTTTATCAAGTTACATTACCGTATACCGCGAAGGCATTCAGTATGCGAGAATTGCCTGAGTTTCCGGTGAGATTTGCCAGTCTAGTTATTGTTCGCAATACGAATTCTGCCTAACGGCTGCGAGAGGATATTCCAAGTCGTATCAAGTGCAAGTTATACGTGAACGCGTCTAATCGAATAATCGAACGTATCCGTCATCGATTATGAGTATCGCCCGCTTCGAATAAAACTTCATTCCAACTAACAAGTTTAAATTGTTACAACAAAAAGAGTCGTCGTTAATACACATGTTAGTACACACCATCTTGACAAGTGAACCTTTCTTACAAGGTGACACCAGCGTCACAAACAGAGATTATCCATTAAATTTAAAAACGAAATTGTAATTGTCGACCCAAACTTACAGAAAGTTCTTCTAGAGTACTTGATACTAGCTACGAAAACGACTATATAACTTCGAGACCTTCTCGACTCGGGTTCAGAAGTAATCGAGCCACCGAAACGATTTCATAAGAAAACAACAAGCCGAGTCTACAGAGCGAGCAATACTTAGTAGAGTCGACAGAGCGAGCGATATGTAGTCGAGTCTACAGAGCGAGCGATACGAAGCAATCTTCATTCAACATTAAGACTGAGATCTTGCCTGAATTTCTCTGTACTAATGTTCAATGAATAAGAAAAGTTGAAAGATCTCTGGATCACTATTCACTACACAACATCTGATTGGAGCGACATTTACAATAATATATGCCACGTAACATCTAGAGTTTCCTTCTCTTTCTATTAATATCATTAATAGTCATTCTATAGTCCTTTAGGAATAAATACCCATAATTTATACGAATAAAATTCTTTGCTTGGTGTACTTAGCCAAGCAGCATTAATCAATTAGTAATGCACCAATTACTAACCATCTGATAAAAAAACCATTGATAAAATGTAAATAAAAGTCTGCTAAAAATCCATAAAATATATCATGGCGACAAATTCAAAATGTATAAAATAATGAAAATAAATACGTTACATGTTGCTATACGAGTACATTATAACAGCAAATTGAATTGCTTAAAATGTATCTATCAAATATGGAATTAAACATAAAAAAAAAAAATAAATAAATAAATAAATAAATCTATTAGCCAACGAAATAAAGTTTAATATTAAACTCGTTTTAAAGGGGAGAGAGAATCTTTTTTGAGAACGATCCGAGTTCTGAGAAAAAAAGGATACAAATGATGATAAACAGATTGGTGAAAACACAGGAAAATATTAAACTCGTTTTAAAGACTTAATTAATTGATCAACATTGAAATAAATTGTTATGAGCAAAAAAAGTAAAAAAACAGAATATACTATATATCGTTTTAAATAGTATATTCTGTTTTTTACTTTTTTGCTCATAACGTGTTTAATCTATGAATTACATCCTGTATGAATTCAGTGTCAAAAAATTTTTTTAAACTCCAGGTTATTGATAGCGTATAAATAATTTCCATGACAGCAGTCTTTTTATGTTACAATCTATGTTTTGCAACTAATGTAATTATATTTTTTCCTTCCTTATTTTTTCTAACGTAATTCTAACGTAATTTTTTTATAATTATATTATAATTATAATTATAATTATATTATAGTTTCTCTTTTTTAATATTTTTTCTCTTTCAATTATGTTATTAAAATTTAAAAAAATAAAATTTTTTATTATTGAGTTTAACCCTGCATGTGAATTGCTGTTTTTCATTGACGTCGTGTAAACGGGTCATTTATGCTAGCATAATTTGAAAGGTTTATACGCAGAATTAATAGAAATAAAATAAAGTTTGATTTGTTTATACTATTGGAAATTGCATAATATTTCATTTGTTATATACAGCTTTTATAAAGTTTTCGTTTTTAATCTTTACTACAATGTTTCTAATAGCAAACTCGGTGCTATCACTTGTTATTTTGTCCTTTTATACGAAATTTTAATTAAACAATAAAGAGATATAAAAACTAAAATAAAAATTACCTCCTATTTTAATCATGTTCATATTTGTTGTAGATAACGTCAACGCCGTGGACTTCGCTGTTGACTTAATACAATAACCGCTTCATCTAATATCATCCTTTTCTTGTGATAATGTCTTGAATTCTTCATCGATGGTAAACTATGCCTCTTTTGTAAACATTTTTTGCTTACTGAATGTTATTTCCGTAATTTTCTTCTATATAGTTTTCTGTAATAACATTAATTCATATGTAATTAGCAAATAATATGTAATTAGCAATAAAATACTTTTTGCATAACAAATAATAAATTATGTTCTTTACAAATCACAATTTGTTTTTTTTTAGTGTAGCATATTGATATTACTCTTTACATTCACATAATATTTTACTATTTGTAAAAATAGGTTTTTTAAATAGTATTTGACTTAAAATAAAACTAATTAAATAATTATGTAACATAATAAATAACTATGTAACATTTGTGTAACGAATATAATTATAAAATTTAATATTTAATAAAAATTCAAATACAAAAGGATTCGATTATTCAATTACCACAGCATATGAGACCTACAGTTTTAATGCCGGTTCGGAATGGCAAAATTTTTCGACAGATATTTCTGTGGGTAAGGATACTCTCGAGAGGAGATGCCGATCTTTCGAGAAGAGGCATAAGTGTAAATATTTTGGTCTCTATTGAACTTGGAGCTTTAAACATAATAGACTAGTGCGCTATCTGCCATGCCACACTCACAATTTAATATATATAAACATGATACATACATTTCAACCTTCTGAATGCTTGTGAAGATCGAAATATATATATCATTATATTGATTGAATTTCACACATCATTTGATTTTACCAATTGATTTCTTTGCGAGGCTTATTTGCCTCTTTTATATTAATTTGAATTTTTATTCCTTTGAGCCTTAGGATATTTCGATTTTAAATTTTGAATTTTTTAATTTTAATATTTAATATATGATATAATAAGTATTAAATAAAATATTACATTAATACTGCATTATTTTGCATATCTTAATCACTATAAATACGATAATATAATTACATTTAAAAAATTTTTATCCAAATATTGATTTAAGGAACTCTGTTCTGTCTTCTACTTGAGTATTTGCTTTCCTATTCCTTATTTCATTATCAGTATCCCTTTGCTTAACTTCAGGCAATTCAAACGTTGTCTCTTCCCCTTGTTCTTGTTTTCTACGCAGCTTTTTACTTCTGTCTACATTATATGAGAAGAAGTTAATTTCTCTCTTAGCTTGTGCTATCTCTGTTAGAAGTCTTTGCTTATGAACTGCACGTTCATATGCTAATCGTTCACTCAAATGAATCCATTTAAATCTGTAAAAAAGAAAATGTAAATAATATTAATTAAATGAATAATAAATAAAAATAATAAATAAAATAAAATTCTTATTTTACCTAGGCAAATACTTTATATTCCACATAACATCATAGAATTTGCTTTTCTTTCTCGTGGATACTTGGGTATTGTTTAACGTCTCTGCTACAAATTTTGCTATTTTTTTACTTTCAAATTCTATCCAACCTTCAGTAAAATGCTTGATTACTTTCTTGGTTTTCTTTTTATGTTTCACTGATTGTGTCTCTATATAAATGTTTTACAATACTTTAAATTTAATGCTGTTATATTTATAATCAACAATTTAAAATAATTGATTTTTTAATTAATATATTTTTTTAAGTTTTTAAATAATTTTTTGTTTATATAAGACAACATAAAAAGCAGGAATTTTAATTATTCGATTATTCAATTTACATTATTTACAAATATAATTTTTGGAACAAAGTTGCGTTTACTCATGGATACTAGAAATTCAGGGAATTTTATTTCATTTATTATCACCGAATGTTACACAAAGATAAAGAATGCATTCTATTTAGTGACACAAATCGACATAAATATCGTTCTGTTTTTGTTACTTACAGAATGCAAGGAAAGATACATTTCGTGTCGACACTTGTGTCACTTTATTTCTGCACTAAGTACCTATTATAAAACAAGTCAGAATGGATTCCGATATATTCCACTCAGAACTGAGGTGATATTTTGTAAAGGATCCTTTACATATAAGTAGTTGTAGATGGTCGAGACTTAACTTGTAGGAAACCAACAAATCATAATCAAATATAAAGAGAATACTCGATTAGAATTAGTCAGTTTCCTATGACTTAAGACCATCCACGACCATCTACGACTTCTATGTAGAGGATTCTTAAATGTTTTACAAGCCTATTGACAGTTGTCAATGTCATTGCACAGCTTTTTCACCATAAAATATCTGTGCAACGACACATCGACAACTGTAGGCGTGTTACAGACAATTACGGTGTGTAAAGACAATTACAGAATCACGCCCCTGACATACAGTGCAATAAGTTAAAGCGAAACAAATATATATTGGATTCAACTTATTGCACCATGTGCACCAGTTCAGATAGCAGGAATAAACAACAGATCTATATTCTATTTTTGTTTCTGCACTACTGTTCTAGAATTCTCTTTCTCATTTTCAACAAATATCAGATACATACTTATCTCACTTCAAAAATGTATTAGTTCAGTCACAGAAAATAGATTTTAAACAGAAGGCAAAACGATGCAGTCACAACTAGAAATTTCTAAATACAGCCCATAGTACAATCAACGAAAGAATTTTTTTTAAACTATCTTATATAACCGTAAAGATTGCAATGCCTAAATTTTAAACAGAATCGTAAAGCTCGTAATATTCTTGTAAGACTTGTAAGAATTTTTAAATGCTTTATAAAATATTTTTATCAGCTTCTTACTAATCATAAACTTTACAAAAAATCGTAGATTTTACAAATTATTTACAAATAATCGTACATCTTACAATACATATGCATAAAATTAGATATATTATAATAAAATTAGAATATTAGTCATAAGTTCTTACAAGTTTTACAAAAACACGTTACGAGTCTTACGATTCTTAGAATTGCTTAGAATTGACTCATAAATTTGAGATTTGATTACATTAGATTATATAACACACATGATAAATGATATAATAAAAATCTAAGACTAACCATTGTCGACTAGCTGCAGATATACTCTGCCCACTTTCCCATAAGCAGAAAATATCTCTCGGATCATCATGATATTCATATATTTCGGAATTGTGGACAAATAAATTATTCCTCTTTTAACCTTTTTACCTTTCTTCTGGACTTTCTTTTGAATTTGTGTCGATTCGTCTGCATCGCAATCCATTGCATGGTTGTTTTCATTGCTTTCGTTCGAATTTTCTTGAATCATTTTTGAGTTATTCAAAATTAATTAAATAACTTCTTTGATTAATAGCATCTGGTTATGATACCGCCAAGATTAATTACACAGCGAATATTGTTAGTACGAACCGATACTGTTCACATCACCCGTCTTCGCCACAGATTGACCAAGCCAAGAATGATCGAGAATAACAAAATGGCGTCCATGCACTTCACGACCATGATTTTGCCGGAAGCCGAAATTTCCAAAGAGTGGCGAAGATCCGAGAATTGGTTAATTTCGATGCAGTCTTCACTACCCTCTCCTTGATGCCATTAAAGTGTGATCATAGCGCATGCGCAGTTAGCTACACTGTCGGTAATGTCAGTTACGATTCGTAACCTCAATAATGATATACTGATACTTCAATGATTAATATCTTGCTTTACTGAGCAAAATTTTTTCTATCACATTCTTTCATTTGTGCAAAACGTAATTAATAAACACAAATTTCATCAGAAATTGAAGGTAAGAAGATTAGAAAAATATGGTTATATAAATATAACAAATATTACGAGGAAATGTAAGTAAGTTCACATCAGAACGAAAAAGATTGCTATTTGTCAGAATAAAATGGAAAAGTATTCAAGCATTCAATCACAAGAGTTAATTGAAAAAATGTGATCGTACAATGTTTGTCGCAAATTTATGCAAATTTTTGCATAAACAAGATATAGGATATCGGCAGAATCTAGCAGAAATATAACTATAGTAGTTTGCTAAAATGACAAATAATTAAGCAGATTTGCAAGTCATTCAATGTAGAGTAGCAGCAGGAATTGAGTATCTATTAAATGTACATTTTGTTTCTTTTTTTATTTAATTTTTTATATTTAATAATTTTAGTAATTTTTTTATTTATTGTCACTTAATGTATTTACAAAATTTTCAGTAAATGATAAATTTAATGTTGACAATTTACATCACTCTGCTATAATTCTACTTGAAAATACTGTTAGTCTCTGTTAAGAGTCTAATTACTAGATACAAAATAAACTTAGTGTTTTGTTGATGTGTCACAAATGTTGATGAAAAGCTATTATAATAATGTCTTGATAGCATAATTATATATTTTTAAATTGTTTCAGGAAGCATGTTCTTCATGTTTTGTGATGGATAAGACTGAAATACAAGCAACAATCTTATTTTTTGCTAAAGCACGTGAATTAGTTGGCAGTAAAGAATGTAAGCTTTCTATACAAAAAAAATTATCATCTGCTGATCTTTTTGACAAGATAGTCCATGCCTTTGACTTAGAAAGTATACGTAATCAAATAATACTAGCTGTAAACGACGAATTTGTTGTTCCAAATAGCATTCTTATACTATCGGAAAACGATAAAATTGCAGTTATTCCACCACTTAGCGGAGGTTTGTTTAATAACAAATTAAATTATAAATTTATATTATTGTTTTTATATTTATATTTTATCTATATTTCTTGAACGTTAAGTAAACCCATATTTTTTTACATTAAACTTATACATTAAACTTTTTTATTAAGACATTTTCTAACATATTTAATGTCAATTAACAACTCAAAAAATGTAACAGATGTTAAATAATAAATAAAATTAATTGTGCCATATTATTTGTTTAGGATAATGGAGATATTAAAGAATTTTGTTAAGTTGCAACAAGAAGAATTAAATATTGCAGAAATCATGGAGCTAGTGACATTTCCTAACTGTGGAGCAATATCTAATTTTATTGGAATTACTCGAGATAATTTTGAAAATAAAAAGGTAAAGTGCAGAAATCAATTTAAATTTTTTCTAAGTATTTGTCTAATAAATTATCTAACAATTTTAATATATTATGTAAATACTGAATATTTGCATAAATTTGTTTAGAATAAAACTATATTTCATCCTTATTTAATTTTATATAGATTATATGAAAACTTTATTTAACGATGAGAACAAACTTTAATAATTTTTACTTAAAAAAAAAAAAGATATAAGAAATATAAGATATATAATATAAGAAAATGCTAAACAATTTTCTTGTTTTATTTGAAAATTTTTTTCATATAATAATTCTTTACTGACTTACTTATTTTATTCATAAAAAATGATTACTCTGATTTGTAATGTTATTAATTTGTGTTCTGTTATTTTAAACAAATAACCATAAAATAGATTTTAAGTTTAAAAAATACAATCACAAGAATACATGATAAAAGTCAGTATAACATGTAAAGAAAATAAATTATCTTTTATATTACAAAGCATATAAATAAAACTTAGAGCATTGTTATATAATTTGTATTAATCAAAAGAAAGATACATAAGAGATGAAAATGTCATCTATTGTTTGGACGAAAGAAAAAAATATTCTAAATCTCTTAGATTTTACTCATAAAATAACAAGAAATCATTAATAAAAAATTGTTTTTTAAAATAATTGCAGACAAATGTTTATGAATAATAGTCCTTTTATTAACATTTTTGTAAATTTAATTCAATTATTTTGAAATTTTATATAGGTAATTAAATTGGAATATGAAGCTTATGAATCAATGGCTTTAAAAGAGATGACTAATATCTGTAACAAAATTCGTTCACAATGGGATGTAGAAGGCATCGCCATATATCATCGTATTGGAGAAGTACCGATATCCAAAGCAAGCGTTGTAATTGCAGTTTCCTCTCCCCATAGAGAGCAATCATTGAGGGCAGTAGAATATGCTATTAATGCGTTAAAAGCATCAGTGCCCATTTGGAAAAAAGAAGTATACGAAACAGGAGAACCACAATGGAAACAAAATAAAGAGTGTAACTGGATAAATAGTAAATAGCTTTTTAATTATCAATTCTGAATATTTTCTTATGCATGTCTACTTAAATATTTGCTAGTCTATATATAGTTGTATGTCGCTCATATTTTAATTGAAAGAAATCTTTACAATAAATGTAGTTAGATTTATTTACAATTGTATTGTTGCGTCATTGCATGACTATCTGCGTTGATTTATTGACTTATTTAGTTTTATATTTTTCTTTCCAAAAAAATCTATTTTTTTTTACATTAGTCTTCCTCGCTCAGATGTAGATTGCCATAAGTCCTCGACACTTTCATTAAGTACTTATTTTTCATATAAATTTCTTACGATATATTTTATTTTTAACGTTTAAAGTGATTTTGAACTATCAATCTAAAATCATTTTAAATGTAGCATTTTGATATCTTTATAATAAAGATAAACTTTAACTAACTAACTGGAAATATAGTAATTCCTGTTTATTTTTTGTTTGTGTTATGTATACAAAAAATACAATTGAGAGTAACTAAAATAACAGGATTTCAGGGGCGAATTATTTCAGTAACGGTGGGTTTGCGCATGTTTACATGAACTTTTTTTCATGTTTTAATTATCCCTTGTATAACATAATTAGATACAATATATTCTTATTTAATTACTATAATTAACATAACATATAGATTAACTATACAGATTAAAATTCGAAAATGTCTATAGTTTTAAAAGACGAAGAAGCTCAGATGGCTTCAGATATAAATGAAAAAATACCAAATAAAGATGTAGTCGATCAAAACCTTGTACAAATTCGAGCGAATTCAGAAGAATTAAATCGTAGAATAGAATCATTTATTGAAAGAAAGCGTCAACATGTAAATACTGTGAATGTTCAAGAATTTTGTCGCTACAGGTCAGTTCATTATTAACATTAAAATAAACGAATTTACATGTATACTCTAATATAATTTTCATTATAATTATATATAGTATGTAATTATATATAGTATGTAATTATATATAGTATGTATACATAAGTGATATAATTACAAGGTGAAATTATTGTAACTAATTACTATAAATAATATCTACAGTGAAAATAATGGTAATGAAAATTCTTGTGCAAGAGTAGATGCCATTCTTATTCGACGAAAAGATTCCAGGAGTCATATAAAAGGTAATAATACAAGTAGTATATAATTTAATTTTTTATTGCCCACTTGATTTCGTATTGTTATATGTTTATATTATTAATATTTTACTTTTTTCATTAATTTCTATGGACATATCGATTTATTATATAAGATTTTATATATATTGCAATCTAATAGAATTTTTTTTTTTTCATAAATTCGCCTTTTTTTCGAAAGAGGCTTTATGTAGATAATTTGGCAAGAATCATTTATATAAACTTGTTTGTCTCTGACATCAAAGTTAAGATGTTCGATAATGCTAGATTTTAATATTTTTTCGTAAATTTAAAAAATTATATCCAAATATCGTAACATTATTTATATTGTTATTTGTTCATATAATGTATAATTTTATGATAAAGGAAATTATATATAATCCAGATTTGTAATTATGTCTAACATTTAACTTGCAATTAATTTTTAATCATGATATCTCAATACATATGAGAGCACTTACTTTTATTTTTTTTCTATATATACTAAAAAATATGCAAGTATGCAATTTTAATATACGTGTATATCTGAAATTATTTTTAGTTCATAGAGTATTAAATGAGTGGGGACCTCAAACTATTGATCAATCAATTTTATGCAAACCAATTACAAATAATATGAGCTTTGATGTTTCGGATTCTTTCCCTATATTGGACGAGAGAATTTCTGTGACAGAACGTATGATAGGAATTAACAAACCAGTACCTAAAGATATTTACGAAAGATTGAAAAATATTGAAGATAGAATATTATATTTGGAAAGTATATCACCGGAATATAAGGACTTTTGGACGCAGTAATTTTACTACTTACTTTGATTCATAGCTAGTATGTGCTTCAATGTTACTATTTATATATATTTAATAAAAATTTGACAAGAGAAAATTTGATAAGAGAAAAAAAACGCATTTTCTTATTTCATACATGTGCTTGAAAACAATTACATACTTTAAATATATTTAAGTGTGTGTGTGTGTGTGTGTGTGTGTGTGTGTGTGTGTGTGTGTGTGTGTGTGTGTGTGTGTGTGTGTGTGTGTGTGTGTGTGTGTGTGTGTGT